CTCAAAGTAGGTGTTCATGATCCTCTGGATTTCTTTCGGATCTGTTGTGACTTCGCCTTTTTCATTCCTAATTGCATGGATCTGAGCCTTTTCTTTCCTTTTTTTGATAAGATTAGCTAAGGGTTTGTCAATTTTATTTATTCTTTCAAAAAACCAGCTCTTTGTTTCATTTATTTTTTGTATCGTTTTCTTAATTTCAATTGCATTGATTTCTGCTCGGATCTTTATAATTTCCTCTCTTGTTCGAGCTTTGGGTTTTTCTTGCTCTTGTTTTTCTAGGAGTCTAAGTTTCATCGTTAAGTTGTTTATTTGAGCCCGCTCTGTTTTCCTAGTGTGGGCATTCAATGTTATGAATTTTCCACGTAGAACTGCTTTCATTGTGTCCCAAAGATTCCTGTATGTTGTATTGGCATTCTCATTTATTTGTAAAAACTGTCTAATTTCTTCTTTAATTTCCTCTGTAATCCATTGATTGTTTAGGAGAGTGTTGTTCAGTTTCCATGTGCTTGTGAAGTTTCTATAGTTTCTTGTGCTATTGATGTCTAGTTTGATTGCACTATGATCTGATAATAAACAGGGGATGACTTCAATTTTTTTGCATTTATTTAGACCTGTTTTGTGAGCCAGTATGTGGTCTATTTTGGAGAATGATCCATGTGCAGCCGAAAAGAATGTATATTCTGGTTTTTGGGGGTGGAATACTCTATAAACATCTATTAAGTCCATGTGTTCCAAAGCTTGGTTCAGTTCTATTATTTCATTGTTGATTTTCTGCCTAGTAGATCTGTCAATTTGTGATAGTGGGGTATTTAAATCCCCCACTACAATTGTATTAGTGCTTATTTGGTTTTTCATGTTACTTAATATTTGTTTTATATAGTTGGGGGCATTTATATTTGGTGCATATATGTTTATGATTGTCAGCTCTTCCTCTTGAATTGTTCCCTTTACAAGGATGTAGTGTCCTTCTTTGTCTCTCTTAATGAGTTTTGGTTTGAAATTTACTTTATCTGAGAATAAGATTGCTACCCCTGCTTTTTTCTGGACTCCTGACGCATGGAGAATTGTTTTCCATCCTTTCACTTTCAGTCTATGGACTTCCTTTTGCACTAGGTGTGTTTCTTGTATACAACATATTGTTGGATTTTGCTTCTTAATCCATTCTGCCAATCTGTTTCTCTTGATTGGTGAATTGAGGCCATTAACATTGATGGTTACAACTGATATATTTTGACTTATTCTTGTCATGTTTTTGTCCATTTGTTGACTCTTTTTACTTTTTCTCCCATCTCCTTTTAGTTTCTTGCCTTGCCTATTTGATTTGGTCTGTTGGGCCTCATGTTATTGTGAATTTCGTTGTCCTTTTCTAGGATATTGTTTAGAATTCCTTGCAGTGCTGGTTTGGTGTTCATGAAATTTCTCAGGTGCTCTTTGTCGTGGAAGTATTTTATTTCCCCATCTATTTTGAAAGAGAGTTTTGCAGGATACAAAAGTCTAGGTTGGAGATTCTTTTCTTTTAGGACTTGGAATACCTCACTCCAGGCTCTCCTTGACCTAAGGGTTTGTGTTGAAAATTTTCCTTTCCTTTCCTTTGCTTTCCTTTCCTTTGTGATCTGTTTCTTTTATGTTACTGCTTGTAGTATTTTGTTTTTCTGTTGGATTTCTGGAAGCTTGATTATTATATGTCTAGGTGTAGATTTTTTTTTGATCATGGCTAGTTGGGGTTCTATATGCCTCACTTATCTGTATGTCTAATTCTTCCCTTCTGTTTGGGAAGTTTTCTGTCATTAATTCTGTGAAGAGCTTTTTTATATCATTTGTGTTTTCTCCTGTTTTTTCATGAATTCCTATCAGTCTTATGTTATTTTTCTTTGTATCGTCTAGGAGTTGTTGGATTGATTTCTCATGATCCCTTACTGTTTTTAATAGACCTCTTTTTTCACGGTCACTGACTGCTATCCTATCTTCTATATCTGAAATTCTATCTTCGCAATCTTTTATTCTGTTTCGTACACTTTCAATAGAGTTTTTAATCTCCTGGATATCTGTTTGAATCTGTTTTATGGATTCCATTTCTTTCCTCTGTTGGGCATTCATTGTTTCCATGTCTTTCTTATGCTGAGTCTTCATGGCTTCTATCACAGTCTTGAGCTCATCTATTTTTTTCTCAGTTTCTGCTCTAGAGTCTCGAATCATGACTTCTATTTTGCTCATCATCTCTCTGGCTAGCTGGGAAATTATTTCTGATTTGAATTTTTCTAGAGCCTGATTGATCAATTTTGTTACCTCCTGTGCTATGGGTCCAGGGAGTCCTGTTGGTTCACTATCAGACTTTTCATCCTCATTTGTCCTACTATTTGCTATTGGTGAACTGGATATCTGTTTTTGTGTCTTGCTTAAGTGTTTTCTCATTTTTATTTTTATTGTTGGGTTGTCCTTCTTTAATTTCTGGGTATTACTTAAATCTTCCTAATATAGTTGCGTTTTAGCTTTTGAGTTTCTAATGACTCATAGACATTCTCGTTTTCATAATATCAGAGAAAACAACTCTTTAAATCAATCACCACTCTTTGTCCCAATTGATACATTCAGCAGCCCAATAGGATCAGGCACAGCTTGCCAACTGACCACTTGTGGTAGTCATTAATGTATCACCTTTAACTCATGTGAATTAAATTAATTTCAAGAAGCAGCTCATAGTATGTTTGCAGTGAATATGCTTTTCAATATGGCATCTTTACCATTTAGGATGGGGGGTTCGACTTAGAACGAGAGGATTAGATAAGTGAAAGAATTAGAGCAGGTTTGAAGTGAATCCAGAGGTTGTAGAATTACCTTACTATCTTTACAAAGCTATTAACTTCAGGGGGGATAGAGAGAGTGCAGGAATAAGGACAAGAATATATCCCCTTAACAATAACAGGCGCTTGCCTTCCCTTGAAGGTACAGAGCCATGAGTGAGGTAAAATGACTGGAGAAAAGAACATAAAGAGAAACCCCTCCTAAAAACAAAAAATAATAAAAGAAGAAGTCTGAGTTAGGGCAGGAGCCGGAATAAAAAGGGAGATGAGAGACAATATGGTGGAGCAAGAGACTGAGTAGGAGAGAGAGGACAGAAAAAAGAAAGAAATTTTAGGGTGGAATGAGGAAAAGAAAAAAAGAGAGAGAGGGAAAAAAAAGAATTTGAGGGGCCTCTTTCAGACTGTCTCTGTTCTCATATTATACCACATGTACAGCCATATGCAGAACCGAATCCCCTGGTCTTAGCTAGCCAATGGCAGTTCCCCACGACTGAGACTGAACACAGTCCACAAGGCCTAACTTGAGTTTCCCTACCCTCAGGGTTGAACTCCACTCAGTACTATTACAGGTTTCCCCTGCCTTTTCTTTAAAGATGTTCAAAGTTGGGAGCTCAGAAAACTACCCTTCATGAGAACCTATGCCTCTGCAGAGTTGGTCGAAGGACTGTCCCAATCAGGAGGTTTGAGAACGGGGGTGGGGGGGAGGTCGTGGGGTTGTTTCAAGGGCGCCCGCGTGGCTACCTTCCTTACTGGGTCTGTTGTAGCGCAGTCCAGGAGGTCCCACACCCGCCGGGTGATCTCAGGCAGGCAGGCAGCTGAAGAGACCCCCTCTGGGGTCTTTTGGTCCTTGCTGGGTCTGTTGTCGCGCAGTCCGCTGGGTGATCTCAGGCAGGCAGGCAGCTGAAGAGACCCCCTATGGGGTCTTTGGGTCCTTGCTGGGTCTGTTGTCGCGCAGTCCGGGAGCTCGCGCATCAGCCAGGTGATCTCAGGCAGGCAGGCAGCTGAAGAGCTATTGGACTGTTTTCTGCAGTGACTGTCCTGTTTCACATTCTCACCAACTGTATATGAGGGCATTCACTGGTCCACATCCTCACCCATACTTGTCATTAACTAATTATTTCTTAAACATACTTTGAATACTCGTCTTTTTTTAACCCCACATTCTTCTTCTACTTTCAAAGGTATTTGGTATCTAATACCTGAGTCTCCGTGAAGGGCACAGGGGCTGAGTATGCAGAGATGTGCTGTACATAAATTGAGCTATTCCTTGCCTTTCCCCTGTGCTAACTTGATAGTCATTTTTCACCAGCGTGTTCAGATATTTATCACTTCTCAGTTTGGATTTCAATTCCCAGACTTGATCAGTATTTTCTCTTTTCCCATCTTCTTTGGGCTTTTTCCTGGAGAAAAATAGATTTTCCGTTATTTCAGTTGGGTTTTGTGAATGAGGAGATCTAAAAATATGCATCTTTTCACCATCTTTAATGATAAATTGATGCATTGTATTTGAATTGGATTGTGTGTTGGATTTTATTCATATGCACTGGAGGGTCCTGGATCTTATTCAAATATATCCTTTCCCACTTTCTGTGTGTTCTGCATTTCCTATATGGCCATTTTCCATAAGCAGCTCCATCTTGCCTTAATTATTAGCCCTACAGTGTTTCTAGACCCAGGGTCATGACCCTTATATTTATAGTACAGTGAGTCAGTTGGAGGAAATATAGCACCAGTTGACTAGGGCTGTATTTTTCTTGTAATCTTAAAAAAGTCACTTCTCATACCTAGTCTGATTTATATTTAGCACACCCTATTCCTTTTCTGGACATTGGCTGTGGAGCTGAGGCTTGTATTAATTTTCTTGTATATACTGAAGAACTTTTTAATCACACTAATATATTGTAATTCCTTGCTTTGTCACTTTGTAATTATTCCACATCAATACCAACTTATATACAAAAAAGTTTTGAAATACTTGAATTTCCTACCTTCCAAATATTTGAAAGTGTTTGCTGTAGTTATTATCATGACTTACAATTTCCTTTCCACAGAGAATAGGATTTTCTGACCAGATGTTCTTTGAAATAAATGTAAGAAATATTCATGTTTTGGTTCTAATCAATGAACACTTGGCATTTTCACAGGTACATGTTTTAATGTTTTAATTTAAATTTATTGATAATTATCTTCTAATGACAGGAACGTCAAAGAAAATTAAATCACAGGCTTGGTCTGGATTCTTATTTACTCAAGCCAGTACAGCGAATCACTAAGTATCAGTTACTGTTAAAGGTAATTACACGAAGCATGTTTCTTTCTTTACTTACTTGTGTGGGTCAGATGTGACAAAGCCATTTAAACGGAAGTCTTTGGGAAACCAGTACACTGGCTTTTTGGAGAAGGGAAGCAGATTGAGGAGAGGGAGAGGATAAGGAGAGAGAGGCAGAAGGATTGAACACAAGATATAATGTGCGTGTTTGTGTGTCTCTGTGTGTCTGTGTGTGTGTACACCAATTCCCCAAAACAAATGTAACTATTATGTATCAGGTATACAATAAAAAAGGAAGTCATTGGCTGGAAGCACTAGAAATTAATGGGCTCAATAAGTAGGAAGGCTGGAGTTGGCAGTAAAATCAGTGCACTGTGCATTTTCAATGACTACAAGGTGCAGCAGTAAGTATCAACCCAGAGATATCTTGAGCATTAGCTATTTAATTTTCTATACAAGGTGCAATGATTCATGCAGAGTGTTGTACTGAAGAACTTTTGATATTATAGCAAGATCTAGAGTAACATATTTTTATAGTTTTGAGATTCGATTTCATATTGACCTTCTCATTGAAAAATGCACATGGCACTCCCCTAGTGTAATGTGAAAGGATCAGTAAATTTGGTGTCAAGCATAAATATAACTTGACTTGTTTTAAAATGTATTTTCATCTCTATGCTGTATGTATTATGAATGTATCATGAAATGAATGTGGTTGTATATTCAGGATAAAAAAGCACATGTGTAATAAAGCTAATGTGCCTTAAAAGTTAAACTCTAATGTGTCTTCATAACTACTACTCCTGAGCTCCAAATGTTTTTTGTTTTTTGTTTTGTTTTTTGTTTTTGTTTTGGTACCTGGGATCAAACTCACTACCTTGCACTTGCAAGGCAGGCACGGTGCCACTGAGCTAAATCCCTGGCAAGGCCTGTTCAGTCACTATTTTTTTACATTGTTATTAAATATAGTATTAATGTGACAAAGAGCATATGAAAGAAATTACTCTAAAAAAGTGACATCATCTTTGGATTCATTGCCGGGCATGGTGGTGTATGCCTATAATCCCAGCACTCAGGAGGCTGAGGCAGGAGGATCGCTGTGAGTTTGACACCAGCCTGGGCTACATAGTGAGTTCCAGGTCAGTCTCAACTACATAGTGAGACCCTGTCTCAAAAAAAAAATAGTGACATTATCTTTGAATTCATGCTTGAAAGCATGTTATCCCAACTTCATTTATTTCTCAAACTGTTTTAATATTTGCCTAATATTAACTTTTTTTTGTACCAGGGATTGAACTTGGGACCTTGCACTTGCAAGTCAGGCGGTGGAACAAATCCCCAGTCCTGCCTAATATTAACCTAAATGCCTGACTTCTAATTACAGGAGCTGTTGAAATACAGCAAAGACTCTGAAGGATTTACTCAGTTACAGGAGGCACTTGACACCATGCTGGATTTACTGAAGTCAGTTAATGACTCTATGCATCAGATTGCAATAAATGGCTACATTGTAAGTAAATCTTAATAATTTTGGGAATTTTAGAGAGTAAGCATATCAATATCAGTTTCTTACTCTCCTGGAATCAATTGAGAAATAGCATGTAAGAGACAGAAAAATGGAGATCAAAATATTAGCGTTTTTACTAATAGTGCTAAGTGAAAATTTGGCTTCTGATCAGCAACCAAATGGCTTTGTAACATTCTCCGTGTCCTCAGTGGCCTACTCCCAAGTCTAGACCTAGGGAGATCATGCTTAAGGGAGTATTGAGGACCCCTGAGGAGACTGTTGTCTCAGAACTGCTGTTTGCTCTAGGCTGGGATAGAGATGAAAGAAAAAGATTAAATCTCCGGAGCTTGCAGCCTTTTAATAGATTGGCTCCACCCAGTGGGGAAACTTGGGGTGGTGAATGTCACTCACCAATGTGGAGAGATGGGCAGAGATGGTCTAGCTGAAATATCTCTGCATGGAGTTTATTGGTAGGGTAGGGGAAAGTAAATAAGGGAAAAGAAAAAATATGAGAACAGCAAGTCTTTTATCCTCCATTCCCCACAGTAATTTTGTACATCTGAGATTCATGGCGTGTATCACATAAGAGGTTATAATAAATTCATACAAATTATGCTTCAGGGTTTTAGTAGGTCAAGCGAAACGCTGAAATGCTGATGTCAGGAATCTGACTGTCACTCTGCCTTGTACTAATGGTCTTTGCTTTTCTATTCTAGGGAAATTTAAATGAGCTCGGCAAAATGATAATGCAAGGTGGATTCAGTGTTTGGTTAGCACACAGGAAAGGTGCCACAAAAATGAAGGACTTCGCTAGATTCAAACCAATGCAGCGACACCTTTTCCTTTATGAAAAAGCTCTTGTGTTTTGTAAGAGGCGCACTGAAACCGGAGAAGGCTCTGATAGATACCCGTCATACAGTTTTAAGCACTGTTTGAAAGTAAGACACTTTGCACTGTGTAATGTAATATTAAAACTTGTCAATTTTCATCAGCACATGCTTGTCATACATAATTATTACATTCCTTGTGTGGAGTTGATACATGCACATAACACATCTTAACAACCACAACACCCCCATCTCTTGTTCCTTTTCCCTTTTGCCAAAGATCTATTTCTCTTTCTCCTATTATCTCTCTTTTATTTTTCTCTTTAATGAGGGGCTTTTATACTTTCGTCACACATTGCTTTATTTGTAGGAAATCTTAAGTAGAAGTCATATAGAAGTCAGGCAAAGCAGAACTTCTGTGCTTGAATTGGCGGGGGGAGCACAGAACTTTGATTCCTTCCTCCCTCTTTTCCTACAGTCCCAAGCATTCTCCAAGGGGCTCTCTAGTGTCCTGCAGAACACAGTTTGAAACAACAAGGAGCGTCCCAGCCTCCTGCATGAACATTCTCTTGCCAGTGGCACTGACTGAATTCTTGGTCATGCCATCCAGGGGCCTTTTAATGTTACGGTAGACACGAGGAGGAAATTGTTTCCTACTTTCCTTCAGTGCAGTTCAAAATGGAGAAATATTATGTGCTTAGAATATGTCACCTCCATGTCTGTACCTCCTCCATCCCCAAGGGCCATGCTTCCTGGGTATCCAAAGGCACTCACAGCTACATTCTCTCCAAACCTGCTCTGTCCTATCCTTCAAAACTGTCTTATTATTTCCTATAACCAAAAACTACCATTCTGTCCTAATATTAGTTTGGTATTAAAACGAGAGCAGTACCATTTGAGGAAGTCACTGGTAGCCCAGTAATACTTCCAGCTGGTTTTGCCATCAGACACGAGGAACTTCTCATTCACGTGGGGCTGTAACTGGTGAATTTCATATTTTTTTACACCCAATGAAGTTTACCTTTCCATTTTTAAATTCTAAAGATGATATAACATTTTTTTAGAGAACAGTCAGAAAAGACCGAAAATACTTGCCCTTACTTCCCCAACCTGTATCATTGTAGCCATTTTTTATGAGCATGTTCTTTTATACTTGTCATCACCAGTATATTTAAGAGTTGATAGAATTCTCAGCAGCAGTTCTGAAAAGGACGGGTGACGCTGTCCTGCAGTTGGTTGAGGTATTCGTGTAGGGAGGCTACTAGAGAAACTGGCCTTGGTTTTGATTCTTCCTGTATGGTCACCTGCCCTGAGTTACTCGTAATAAGACACTCACCCTGGGCCAGATCCTCCTACTGTCTTAACCTCCCCACCTCACTTCTGATTCTACAGCAGCTTCACAGCTTTAAAATTCCAGCCATCTTCATCAAAAATACCCAGTTGCTCATTTAATACTAACAGTCCACCTCTAATCCCCCAAATTTCTAAGAGTCTTTTATGTTTCTCATAAACATGGATTCAGTACCCAGAAGTTGTACTCTCTTCCAGATAGGGTTTATCCATGCACTTATTTTTGGGGAAGGTACTTTCCCTTCACAGGCAGGTTTAATCCAGATTGATTAGATTCACCTTTTACTTGTGTGTGGGGGGGGGCTAGTTACTGCCTAATGGAACATTTCTGATTTTTATTGATATTTTACCTTTAGTATGACATAGTTATGGTCATGCCAACAGAATGTTTCCCAAGTACAAAGCAAGGAGGGACCAATGTTGGGTAATGAAGTTGAGAGAATTGAAACTGTAGTAGTTTCCATAGAAACGAGTGAGAAATATTTCAGTGGAAGGTAGAAACTTGGGCTTGGTGACTTATTAGATATAGGAAATAAATTATACTTGATACTGGCAGAAAAATCTGCTTAATTTTTTCCTTGAGTCTCTGATAATTCCTAATACCCTCAATTTAAAAAGTCAATGATGCCTGCAAGGCTTTAGGCAAGGATTTCTAGGAAAATGGCACTGGTGGTAAAAAATGGAAAGTAGGATATTTCTCAGGCGTTACTGCACTTACTTCCTCTTGCTTGTGTATCATGAGACTCCAGCACTGAGCCATCTCTGGCATGACTACTCAATATGGCACTTATCAGATAGGGTGATTTATGTCAGAGTCTTGCCTTGATGGAGAGGACCAGCACAGACCCTTCGCTACTGAGTGTCTTCTAGATCTTGTCTGGACTTCACCACAGCGTGCTGGAATCCCAGGGCCTGATCATGTCCTTCTATATTTTGAGGACGTGATCAGGCCATGTTGTATTTTAAGTGAGCCACTTATCTGCAAATGAAAACCCTCTCTAAGGTCAGAGTTAATCAGATGGATATGCTGAGTTCTTCAGTTCGTGCTTTATTATTATTACCTATTACGTTAATTTAGCAAACGTGCACTTATGGCTACATTCCTGAGCAACTCCAAAATCCACTTAATAATCACATGCTATATGTTAGCAGTGAAAACTAATAAAAATATTGCAGTTTATATAAGGGAAAGAATCTACAGCAAATTTGAAAACCTCATTATGCGATCTGAACAATTAGTGGATGCTATGTAATTCTTCTCTAAACTGTATGAAACATGTTCTTTTTATTTTATAAGTGAGGAAATGGAATTTCAGAAAAGTTCAGCAACTCACAGCGAGACACATAGCCCTTTCTCACTCCAAACCCTGTGTGCTTTCTAGCTTACCAACTACTTAAGATAAAACCGTGTGATGAAACATAATCCATTTTTTTAAAAGATCGAATGTGACATTATTATTCATCTTACATCTGAATATTTGAGCAGAAGTAGGTTAGAATGGTATAGTAAGACCCCAAAACTATTTGGGGACATTTTCAAAGTAACTGCTGACTACACTCAGGATGGAGGCGCTTTCATTTCCAGGCATAATTGCTTTTCTTTTCCTTAATAGAGAATCGACTAACACTACCTTTAATACTTATGTTTTAATTAGGGCCATTTAGGGGGCTAATGAGTGGAGCAGAGTGAGACAATCCTTCGGATAATTAGATAGGAATTGGAAGAAAAGGAGAAAGGCAAAAGAGAATATAGAAGGAAGTAAAATTGCCCCAAATGGAATTAACCAAGGTATCAGCAGCAAATGGTGAAGAAGAATGTACAAAGAAAGCACAAACATATGGAGAAGAAAAGCTGTGATAAGAAAGAATGCATACAGAAGTTTTAGTGGCTATAAAAAGATATTACTGACTCATGATTGATGTTTTAGTTTCTATAGTGGTTGGTTCTTCTCTGTCCCATAAAATGGCTGTATCTAACTTAGAGGAATTCTACAGAGATAAGTGATACATCTGTAAGATTAATGATCTGCAAATAATTACTTGAACTAAATCATTTAAATGAACTTCAGGTGGTTCTCTCACTGATGTTTAATTAGTTTGACAATAGTTTGTTACAATAGTGTGTAGTTGATTTGTAATAGGATTCAGTCTTAGATGGGCTACTTTGGCTATTTAGATTTTATAACATTTGTGTCAGTCACTGCAATGGAGCTCACAATCCAAACTATAAAGTGCGTAGTTCTATGAGAACACTTAAGTTCTTGTGCCAGGTGTTCTTTTTATCATTTCATATTCATTGAATATTCAATGAATGTATTTTGCCTGTGATAAATTCTGTTCCATTTAGAGTATGATGTGGTAGATGTAATGTAATTTCATAATCCAAATAAAACGCTTATCAAAATTTTGATATATTTGTTATAGATGGATGAAGTTGGGATCACAGAATACGTAAAAGGTGACAACCGCAAGTTTGAAATCTGGTATGGCGGGAAGGAGGAAGTTTATATCATACAGGTTGGTCATCATAAAATTATTCTAGAAACCTTAATCTACATTGAGATATAAAAGTTTGAGTTGGTAAAAATAAGTTTGCTTATATTTCAAAATATCTCATTCTTTTCATATAGATCCCTTGCATATTATTTGAGTATTTTTAGTGCTATACTTAACACTTTTTACTATAGCATGTTTTGTTTTAGTTAAGGTAGTTTCATTTGAGGTGTTATATGGTGCTTGGCATTTTCCTAATTACACTGGGAGACTTATCAACTGTAGCCGACAGCTCAGCTGGTGCATCTCTGATCTCAAGTTTCTAGAGTTACGGAATTGTCATGGTTCGGAGTTCCTCTTGTTCTCAGCATTCAAAGGGCACCTGATTACAAGACATGAGGACGTGACAGCTCTGTCCAGAAGAGCTGCAGAGTCTCCCATCTTTCAGGGAAAGTGAGAGGAATCAGAGTATTGCAAGAAGTTGTTGCCATCAGTATTCAATAAATCTTTGAATCGTGCCTTGTGACTCCTCCAGCGGCTGTCATCTGTTGCAAATGTGCAGTGCTTTTTCTTTAATTTTGCACTTAGTGACTACAATCCCTAAAAATAATTTGTTCTGCTTTGCTTTAAGATGTAATACTTGGTAAGATTTGACAAACCTCTCCTGTAAGTAATGGGAAGATATTTAAGGAAGCATTCATGTTTCATCAGTCACTAAGATTACTTTGCCTTCAATTTTATTTTCAGGAATAATAGAGCTTGCTTTACTTCACCACAATAAGACAGACATATTTATATTTTCAAAATAACCTTCCTGAAAAGAGAAACATTAATGAAATTATATTTTGTATTTCACCCAGTTATTGTTGTTCCACTATTTAAGGACAAATTTGAAATGATTTCGATTGTATTATTTCATCCAATCTGATAGCTGATGGCTAGCTTCTTAGAAGTTTTACGAAGCGAAATGCTAAACTTTGTATATGGTGTTTTGGGAGCAGATCATGTTTGATATATTTAATTACATTTGTTCTGTTATAGAAGCATTGTTTTTAAAGAAAGTGTACCTTACACCCTTTTTACATCTTTAGGCTCCTAATATAGATGTGAAGATGTCATGGTTAAAAGAAATAAGAAATATTTTGTTGAAGCAACAGGAGCTTATGGCAGGTAAATTCAAATATGTATTCTTCAGGACAGGAAATACAATAACAGCTCATTGCCTCAGATTTTGTGGAATTTTTGCAGATAATGGGACTGATATTTATTCTATTTATAATGAGTGGATTTTAAAGAAATAAGTGGGAAATTGAGATTCAGAACGTAATTTAGATTATTTTATACTACAAAATAAACCTTAGTGCTTCGCAGTTGAGAAGCAACGCAGTGATCTGACTGTGTTAATTTCCAGTCCCTCGAGTTGCTTAGGAGCGCACGTAATTGGTTCCTGATAAGGTTGGGATAGAGACCTGGTCCCAGTTCTAGACTGGGTCTTCTTGAATAAAGTATGACGATGTTTGGACCTTTCCCAATTCCAACGTTAGACTAGCCTTCCCTCTGGTTATTTCAAGTCCCTGGAAGCAGCGTGCACACACAGCATGAAAATGAATGAGAATATGTCATTGGCTTTCATGGAAGTAAAAAGTGTGACTTCTGAATGATACTTATATAAGCTCTGTTGTATTTCATAGTTAAAAGACAGATGCAACAGGATCAGGTAACAGAACACAATCAACTTTCTCCTCAGCAGAATGATGAGTAAGTGATAATTCTTTAAGAAATAGCACTCATACAATCTTATCTTTTCTGTGTGTAATCGGAAACAAGGTACAGTATCTCAGACAAAAGAAGACCTGCCATTTTAGCAATGACTCATCTGATTTCACAAACATCGTTATCCCAGTTCTAGCCATGTATTTAATGATGCCTGATGGTCATAAACAGTTATCCCTCAGACTGTTTTTCAAATCTATTAAAATGCTTTCTTCTCTTAGTATTATCACAGGAAGCTTTGCAGATAGGCAGGCAGTAAAAGTGGTTGCACTCATGGATTTCTTGTCCAGGTATTTTTGGTTACCTTCAATCTGACTAAAGAAAGAGTTGTAGGAATGTAGAAAGAGATCAGATAAAGGACTGGCTCCCAGCTTTCAGTCCTTTGATGGAGAGTACATACTGGTGATTTGGCCTTTCTTCCTGTTTAGAGAGGTGGCTTAAATCCTGGGAAGGAGTCGAGCTTAGACACAACTACAAGGTCCCACATTGCTGCTGGCTTATAGAGATATGGCCTTTATATTCTACCTTTAGGAATCCTAGAAAGTAGAATGTCCACAGAACACTTGTGTATATGTAGAAAAGGTTTCCACAGTGATTCCAGTCCTGGCAAAGAGATCAACCATGCAATACCTACATGATGGAGGGATCATTTAATGACGTACAAGAAATATTTTTTTTTTCCTTTTTTCCTCGTCATCTTTCAGAAGTAACTAATGTCAGAGGAAGTGCCACTCTGAGGCTCATCTGGGGCGTGAAGAGGACCCAAGACACTACTATTCTTTTATCCTACATTATAAAGCAAAGATTTTACAGTGCATGCAGGAGTTAGCTTAACAGTAGCTGGTACAAACTCAACAGTATGGGGTTTAATCCACAGTTTCAGGCTTAATCTTCATTTATACACACCTTCCTAATTCATTAAAGATAAAAGTCCATAGAGCCATGGGGATTATACACAACATACCTGCCTTGGATCTAGAAGGGCCTCATTCTGTCTTTGTGTAGGAGAGAATCTGCTGGCTTGGGTTTTAGGATTTAGGCTTTTGTACATCATGAGCTATTGTCATGCAGCTGTTTGAATGGACTCTCAGACATTGTTCTTACACATGATATCGGTGGAAGACACAGTGTTTAACTTCTTACTATTCTTAGAGTGCATAGAAGCTCACTTACTGTTATTCATTACTGTTTCAGAAAACCACAGGCAGCTTCTGTAAGTGTTGAGGAAACTGAATTGGAGCACACTGGTGCTATGGTGGAGCGCAGTAAGACTGTCGTGTCAGTTCAGGCAGAAGCAAATGCAGGTATGTGTCATGGTCATCCCAAGATGAGATTCATAGCTGTGCAAGTTCTTATTTCCCATTGCTAATTTGAAAAATCTTTCCATTTGATGGGCACCACAGAGCAGTGGTTGTCAAAGTGTTGCTACTGGAGCAGGAGCATTAGCATCACCTGGAACTTGATTGTTAAAGGCATTTTCTTTGGCTCTCTCCGCCCCAGACTTTCTCAATCAGAAACTCTAGCTGGGCCTGAGGCCCAGCCATGAGAATTTGGACCAACCTCTATACGATTCTGATCTGTGTTCAATATGGTAGCCCTTGCAGTAGAGGTTGCAGAGATGACTAAAACATACATTGGTCTCAAGCAATACACTTTTCAATACTCTTTTTTTTTTAACAGAGAAAGTCATTTATAACTGGAATGTTTATTGTTCTTATGAGAATTGTGTTATTTGAAGTGATTTTAAACATTTATGTAATTCAAGAAATGGTAATGTAACATGATCTGTAAGCTCCTAATTGTGCAAAATATTGGGCATACAGTCTAATTAAAATACATTTGGCAAAAATGTTTATGAAGTTAGGAACGTAAAAAGATAATTCAACAAGCAATTCAGATTAAGTGTGTTAAATGTCCCAATAGGGAGGTACAGGTGCAGTAGAAGCACACAGTAGGGTCCCCTAAACAACTGGCATCAGCAGCATAGACTCCTCAGGGGAAATGCCAAGCAGAGTGCCCAGTACTCAATACTTAACCTGGAAGAGTTTCCCAGTAGTTGAGAAACAAGTAATGGTAACCTCACTCAGTTTTCCATTATCCATTTAAAGGTCACTTCCTTCAAGTTGGCCCCCAGAGTACTCAGGAGAGGACCTAGTATCAGTGCATATATTTGACAGGTGTGGAAACCAAGTCAGAGAAGATTGCCATGACTTTTCCAAGTTCATGTGAATAGTTTAATGTGGCCAAGATGAGATTCTGGTAGTTTGTAATTTAGACTGCTTAATGTAAGTCAGTTCATTTTTAAAAAAAAAATTAAGTACCACCCACAATTCAGGGTTTTAGAGGGCATCTAATGTGTAGTTCATGATTTCTACCTAGTAGGAGAGATAAGCCAAAATAATAATATCAGGTAGAAGCTAATAAGCATTGTTTGAATGTAGCCAATATAATTTTGTAAGAAAAGGTAAATATTCTCTAAACCGTTAACTTAATATTTTTAACAACTCTCCCACAAACCCCAGTGTGAAACCATTCTTTTTTTTTTTTTTTTTTGGTACCAGGGATTGAACTCAGGTCCTTGTGCTTGCAAGGCAGGCCTTCAACCGCTGAGCTAAATCCCCAGCCCTGTGCAACCATTCTAAAAAATAAAAGGAGAATGTGACAGTTCGGGCATTTTCTCAGAAGTTCAGAAATTCGCAAATAGTAGAATCTCATGAGCAATTTTGTTATATAGTGCAAGAGTGTTCCAATTAGTTTACTTTTCACCTCATAGTGAATCAGCACCTTTAAGTAATGGCTACACTCAACATTTTTCTTGTAGTTTGGACTGAGAAGTCACAATCTGCAGAAAACCCTGAAGAGCCTCAGGAATGGCCAAGCACCTATTTCTACTCCACTTTTGATGGCAGTGAAGAGGGAAAAAGACGCTTAATGGTTAGTAGTGACATCAAAATTGTTGAGGCAGTGTTATTGATGAAATAGATGGGACATCTAGAGGCAGTCTTTTGTCAGTATCTTAAAGACGTTAACTATAGCCCATAGCCAAAACATTTGATGCATAATTTTTGTTTTTCGTTTTTTTTTTTTATGTTTGTTTTTTGAGACAGGGTCTCACTATGTAGCTGAGACTGACCTGGAACTCACTATGTAGCCCAGGCTGGTCTCTAACTCACAGCAATCCTCCTGCCTCAGTCTCACGAGTGCTGGGATTACAGGCATGCGCCACCACAACTGACTTGACGCATATTTTATAATGAGTATTCATTAAATACTTCTTTCTTTACGTAGAACTCAACTGAGCTATATACTGGGAGCTCCACTGAAAATGATTAAATAGTCAATCTTGCCAAATGTCTATAAATTGACCTCCCTTATCTTTTTTAATAAATGTAAGGTGTTTCTTTCAGTATTTCTCTTTATGTCTGTAAGATTTTCTTTATATTTTTATTTTAAAATAATTTATGATTCAAAAAACTAGGCAAAAATAGCACAGAGCATTCCTGTATACACTTCACCTAGGTTTCCCTAATGGTAACGTCTTGAATAATTATAGTAAATTTTCAAAACTCGGAGATTGACATCGGTAATATCCACAGACCTTATTCAAATAGATTTCACTAGCCTGGCGTGGTGGTGTACACCTGTAATCCCAGCACTCGGGAGGCTGAGGCAGGAGGATCACTGTGAGTTCTAGATCAACCTGGGCTACATAGTGAGTTCCAGGTCAGCCTCAACTACATAGTGAGACCCTGTCTCAAAAATAAACAACAACAACAAAAAAAAAACAAAAAACAAAAGACAAATAGACTTCACCAGTTTTTCATACACTTATTTATGTGTGTATGTGTAGCTCTGTGTAATTTTATCCAGTACTGTGTTTTTCACGTAGACACAATGAGAATGAGAAAATAAAGAAGATTCAAATATACCATAGAAATCAGTGTAGATTCCAGGTTGGAAAATATAGGAAATAAAAATTACATGTCAAAAATGACTTCCTAACCTCTAGGGAATGTATTTTAGCAAGTTCTCAAAAAATGTGCTAATGATGCCAAATATCAGCATATTAGAGCAAGCAGAGCACTCTGTAAAATTAAAGGAAGTTGCCTTAGGGCAAATGTGTTTCATAGAAGAAATAGTTTCCAAGTAGTTAAACTCCTACTGGGTTATCAGAGGGGCGTTTGGACCTCTGAGGGGAAATTCCTGCTTTTCAGAAGGCACCAGCTTGGAGGGTGGAAACACTGCTTTGCAGTGGACTGCTCCTTGTTGTTTTTCAGAAGAACCCATTCATTTCAGAAGGTCTAATGTTGGAGTGAGAGAGTAACAGCATGGGTAATCACAGGACTGCACAGCATTGACTCTGAAATCCTTTCTTTAAAAATGTAATAGTCGTTTTTCTTCTGATAATATGATGACCATAATACATATTTGTGAAGTAGCTTCTAGTTTACCAAATGATTTCTCAGTTAATATTAGCAGTATTAGTGTGAGAAAGGCCAGAGTCTCTTACCTGTAATTTACAAGGGGGAAACTAAGACTCAGAGATGGCAAGATATGTACAGTTAATTGTCTAGAACATCAGTTCTCAAATTTTGAATAAAGGAATGTTTTATATTCTTAAAAATTGAGAATACCAAAGAACTCTTACTTATACAGGTTACATCTAATGATGTTTCCCTTACTATAAATTAAAACTGAGAAATAAAAATTTATTTCTTTTACACTATTAATAAACTCATGGTAAATGTGTATGCATAACATTTTTACTAAACGTAACAGTTTTCAAAACAAAAAAATAAGTGAGGAGAGTGGCATTTAAATGCTTTTGTAAATCCCTTTCGCATCTGGTTTAGTAAAAGTCTCATATCTGCTTTTGCATTCAGTCTGCGAAGCTTTCACACATCAGGCAGCCTGTAGAAAACTTTTGTTGTATGTTTGTGAGAAGATGACTGTGAAACAAGCAAATAATGCTTGACTTTCGTATCCCTTGAAATGATCTCAGGAACTCCTAGAATCTGCCTCCCTCACTCTGAGGACCACTGGTTTTGACTAGTACTAAAGAGATTAATTTCCCTAATTAATATTATCTGAGGATGAACTGGATTAGAGTAGTAGGTAGTTCAGATGTGATCAAAAAGCCAGAGCAAGCCAGTTTGTGTTTAAGCATTTGTTATAGATGACCTGTGAAGGAAGGTATTGTTGAGAAATGAGCTTTCAGTAAGCATTTTTCCAGCTACAGAGCCACAAAATAGAGTAAATATGCAAAACTAATTAATGTTTTAATCACAGGGGATGGGAATGCAGGAAACCTGTTAGTTTCCTCTTCCAGTAATGCTCTGAGTTGTGCTACTAAGGAAATCTTAGAAAAGAGCAATGCGGTGCATTGTATCCCCAATCCCAAAATAAAGTTGGAATGAGCTGCTCTCTTTGGGCTTCACTCCATTAACTTGAAAAAGGAATTAATGGGTTCTACTTCCCTTGTAGAGACCCCTGTCGGATATGGCTATCCTATATTGATGAAGCTACTATGTCAAATGGCAAGTAGCTCTTGCCTGCCCGCTCTTCAGCCCATGTGGATAAAATACTGCTCAAAAGACGTTCAGCCCAAACGACGTGGATGTTATTTTCAGGTTATTTCTTCTGGACTTGCAAAGAATCAACAGCACATCATTTTTTCTTTTCTTTCAACCAGTTTTAATTATGGTACTCTTTTATCTTTAAAATAGTGTATTCAATGTATAAGATATTCTGCTGGACAAATTCTCATCTTAACACTTTTGGATTTAAAATTCTTTCTTCTCTGTATCTTTGTAACCAAATGCAATCCGTGTGCCTTGGATTATTTAGCTTATTATGAACTAAGTTAAAATTATGGCTGCAAAATGATTAAGGTCAAGTAAAGCACAACATTATTATTTAACAGGCTTTTATTGGATCTAGAGCTTTTGTGCCCATTATTTTAACCTGTGCAAAATGATACAAACTTCAGAAACCCTTTTGGGGCCCTTAGTAAATTCTGTTCAAAGCTATCGCCTTTTGTATGCGCCAAGATAAAATTTTCATAAGAGTAATTTACAAATAATTGTATTTAAAATTTAATATTTTCCTTCTTTTTCTGGATTTATGCTTATAATTCATGTAACAAATTAATTGTGCTCTATTATTTTCTGTACATTTCATGCTGTAATTCTCTTTTTAAAAATAAAAATAAACTCTTCAGGTTATATAAACCCAGGTTCTGCTTTGTTTTTCTGTCACGAACTGTTCAAGTTTGTTCTTGCAAAGCTGTTTCAACTACCACATTAACTTTGAAGTTAAGTGACTTCTTTTATGTCATAGAGAGCAGGCAGTGGTGCAAAGCAGTTTTACAATCCAATTTGTAATAGAATTTTTCAAAACAACTTCACAGTCTCCAGGGAAATATAAAGCCCTAGCAGGCTGCAGGAAGAGAGGTTCAGAAGACCTCCTGATTAGAAATGGTGATGTCATTTAGCTTCTCCGTGAGAATGCTGAGGGTCAGTGATAGGTATGTTTGCAATGCTTGCAGTGACTTCTGGATGGTGCACATGTGTAGCTAATTAAACGTTTCTGCTTTATCTGTATCTCTTTTGTACAGTCTTCAACAGCAGAGATATCACAGGGATGGCTTTCGGTTTCATTGCTTCAGCCATGCCTATATAGCTCACTGAGAGGAATGTTAACCTTTGGTGAGCGAAAGATGCTTTGAAACAATAAAATGCTATGAGCCTGCATGGTTTTTTGTGATTTATCTTTGGCTCAGATGATTTAGCCAATACATCTAGCCTTTGGAATGGCTACAAATCACATTCTGTTTGGTTAAGTCAATCATTAATCACATATCTAATGAGTGCTCATAAAGTGTCAGGGATCATGCCTTGCTACTTTATAACATAGTCACAATTCTCTTTATCAGTTCAAATATTGACTTTTTAGCTTTATCATTCTATTGCTGTGCATATGACTTTATATAGCACCAATTATAAGATGATTCTGCCAGATATTCTGAAGTGAGCTGAATTAAGCTTCCGTATTTTTTTCTGAAAATTTAAGTGCAATATTTCTGTCTTCCTCGTGTCAATAAGTTGAACTGAAATTCCATATTGACGATATACTTTAACCCTAAAGCTAGAGTGGAATGCCACAGAGTAAAAATTAATAATGGATCAGTAAATTAATAATCATTTTTTCTAGTAACCTAATTCCTTCGTAGCTTACTAAAAGGGGCCAAGCCGTGTCATGAAGTCTTTGAATACATACAATAGCTTTGTGAAAATTTGATCTGAAGTATGATTTCTTTTTTATTATCTTGTCATTGCTGGCAACTAACTCATGTATTATTTAGGTTGGTGAAAAATCTTAACAGAAGAAAAGAAAGTCTGATTCCAGAGGGTAGTTTATAGATTTTAATTGGTGGCTGTAGGTTTCAGAATGCCGAAATTACAGATATAAAATGAACAAACTGTACAACATTTGTTTGAAGGTTAAAATTTCTAGATCTTTGCCAAATGTAGCACTGCCATACAGTAAAAACTTCTCTGCCTTTGCAAGTAAAGCTATAAATGTATTATGCTAGCTAATGTCTAACGTTTTTCATCAGTAGATTTAAATTTGTGAATAAAACTTTTAAAATCTGTTACACTTTTCTCTACAAGGTTGATAGTCTTAAAATACATTCCAGATACTGTGGTGTCTTATGCTTTAGGATTAACTACTGAGGATGGCCTTTTAAGATACCAGTCTTATTGTCCAAGAATACTTTACCAGGGTGCATTTCTATTTTCTCAAGAGTGTGCATGTGGACACACACACACACACACACACACACACTTGTATCTGCACACAGGACATCTGCAAAAGTGACATGAAGCAATGAGAATTAATCTAATGTTCCTTTATAATAACCGAACCCTTAGTACAGAAAATTTCTGTATAAAAACCATGATTCTTATAGATTTCTCTCCTATCCTGTTTCCCCCAAAATAAGACCTAACTGGAAAATAATTAGTCATGAAAACTATAGATCAAAAATTCCAGCCATCATCAATCTATCCCTGCCTTACCAAGCCTTATAGAGTAGCCACAAAGCAAGAGAACAGTGCTGGCAGGTAAAGCAAGGATAGGCTGATTGAGGCTGGCATTTTTTTGTGAGAATAGGAAAGGTTTATTGAGAGACAGCTTTGTAGAGACAAGAGGGTTCTCAAGTAGGTTGCCACTGAGGCCCTTTTCAGGTGTAATTTATACAGCAAAGTCACAATGTGGGCACCATGTGTGTCAAATTATAGTCAACCAGTAAGGGTACAAGTATAGCCATTTAGCTAATGTGGATCCAGTAGAGAAGCAGGGCACATAGCAAGATTATATGGCTAGCATCATTAACCTTGCCTTATCTATGACTTTTAAAATGGGAACATTTTGAGGAAGGGATGGGCCAGGTATTCTGCATCCACAGGTGTTTGATATATACCTGGACTTAATGGGCTGGATGGTGCTAATTACAGTACAGCCTCAAATTCTGCATATCCCTTAGGGAAGTATGAATGTCTGATCATTGTGACTTTCTCTTGAGGCCCTGCCTTCCTCAGATGCACCTCCAGTCACAATTCTGAAGTCTTTATTTTTCAGTGATTTTCTTGAACACCCAGAGTCTCTTTGACTCTATTAATTTTTATCTAACTTAGCTGTCTATAATATTCTCCCTTGTGAAGAGGTATCCCTAACAATGGTTAGGGGAGAATGGGCATAGTTTTAATCTAGCTGCTTCAAGCTGAGAAGGGTCTGTGTAGGGGAGACTGTATTCACAGGCCTTCTCCAGAAAGGTAATCTAGTGTGCCTTGGGTAGAAGTCATGTTGGGGTTAGCAGTTAGGAGCTCCCTTTAGCGGGTTGATCTAGTGGATCCTGACAAAAGGAGTCTGGAACACTTGTTGTTGTTGCAATCTGCGTGATCACTTGGAGTTTGGCAGCCTGTAGGTGAGAATAAACAAATTTTTCCAAGAAATTAAAGTACACAATCAAAGTAGGAGCATTAGAATGGAAAGGCAGGTTGGGGAAAAGAGCCACATCCAGACACTGCCCTCATAGGACTGGAATAGTGACTGTAACCAGCTGGCTCCTAGACCTATCTATTGATGGAGATTATCTGTAAATCTGATATTTCTTGTAAGATTTTTTCCACCAGATTTGATTTATCAACAAATTTTATTGATTAACGCAGAAGCCCCTCTAGTTTTAGCCATAGGAAAATGGAAGCTGGGCATGGTGGAGCACGCCTGTAATCCCAGCACTTGGGAGGCTGAAGCAAAAGGATCACTGTGAGTTCAAGACCAACCTGGGCTGCATAGTGAGTTCCAGGTCAGTCTCAACTACATAGTGAGACCCTGTCTCAAAAAAAAAAAAAAAAAGAGAGAGAGAGCGCTCTGCAGTTTTGAAAGACAATTTTAGCTAAGGAATTTAAAGACTTTCTCAGCTTTTATAGCTCCCACTGGTAGTTTTCTAGCCTGGTTGAACTATAACAGTATATAGCTACAACTGTAGTTTGAAACTGACAGCAGGGGTCAGTGATTAGAGCCCCCTTTTTATATAGCCTTTATTACTATGATGTTTTAAAATATACCTTTTGGTTATGCTTTATTGCTGGGTGTTTAAGACTCAAGATAAAGCGAGGCCTGTGTTAATCAAAATTAACCCCTCGCTGTGTAACAAGTTCAGTTAAGACTCTTCAGGGGTTACTTTTGGGATGATGTACTGAGCCTCTCAGCTCCTCTGTCAGTGTCAGCCTCCTGGATGAGTCACAACCCTGCTTGAACATGTGGCTTCCTCTGGAAGCATGGAAACCATTTTTCTCTTTGGTGACCCCCTTTCTGGCACATTGTGCATTGGTTGACTCCTTTTCTCTGTAGTCTAACCATCTCACTGCTCCTGAGGTTGGGTGACTCACCAAAGTTTCAAGATCCTGTAGAAAAGGTTCCCTAATATCTTGGATTCTTGTTGACCTTGGAAGGCCAGGGCCAAAATATTGGCTGTACTCTTAGCCCAGTTATCTTTCTGGCCCTGGTCTTCAAACCTCAGTTGTTGAACACCAAGGACAGTTGAAATATATAACATGATGAAGGAACTGTTATTTCCTTGCTAATCATAGTTGTCTTAGAAGTTGAATCCCCACAGAATGTGAACAGATAGCAATTGTAAAGTTTTACAGAGAAAACTAGAGATCCAGGGCAATACAACATTTCAGCATGACAATCATGATGACATTGTTATCTATGAGCATTTAAATCTTCACTTATTACAAATTAACTTTTTAGTCATGTACCTTTATCTAATTACAAAATATTAAATGGCATAAAGAAACTTTCACCCAAAATGTTATCTTTTAACAATTTTCTGTTACCAAAGTGACATTTAAGTGGAATGTAATTGTTTATAAATGTACTTTACAGAGTATTAATGGCTCGTCTCTACTCATTCTAGTGACATTGTCTGGATTACACGGTATTTACGTACTTGTAACTGTTATACACAATTACATAACAGTCACACAAGCACAAGCCTGAAAACATATCCACATCATCTGGCTAGCTGTTTCATTTTGGATTGGCATGCAGATTTCATCACGAGTAGCTGGAAAACAAGTAAGGGAAAGCCAGATGCTTAAGCTTGAAAAAGTTTACCACCATAAGTAACTTTAGTATGAAAGTCACCCATATGATAAAATGAATTTCAGATTTATATCTTTGAAGGCCTGTACACCTGGGAAGCACAAACATATCAAATATACCATGAGTTTAGCAATAATTGATATCACAACTATATAGAAATCTTTACATATTTAGTGTCTGCTCTTATGAAAAATTTTAGACACTTTTTACAGGTTTTATAAGACATAACTATATTGACAAGAATTAAGGACATCTTCACAGCTCTGATGAGTTTAGGAAACAGTGTTAATGGGTGCAAATAGATTTATTATCCAATATACAAGTGTATTTTATTTATACAATAACAAAAATGCTGTTTAATCAAAGCCAACAGATATAGTTTAAATGTCAGTACCAAAGTTGAAGAGATGTTAAGTTACGATTATTTTTTGTTTAAGGTCTTAAGATATATTGAATAAAAGAGAGCACCTATTAGTCAC